AAAAAAAAAAAAAAAAGGAGAGGACAGACAGAGGGTCTGGGGAAGGAAGGAAACGCGAGAGAGGGTGGAGGGCCTTTAACGCCGACATTCGCGTGATGTGACGTTTTTATTGTCGCGTGCTTGTTTGCGCGCGGCTGGTAACGTTCCACGCGTAATTTAGACGGCGGTAATTCCGTGGTCGTGCCGCGAACGCGCGATCTTAAAAAAATTCACGCCGCTGGAATATTGTTCTCTTCCCCCGGCGGCGTGTCGCGTCGGTAATTGTCCAGAGAAATTCAACGCGTATCTTTAAACACGGGTGTCTTACATTACAAACTATATCGCGCAGATAGTTCTCACGGAATAATTCACCGAGCATTTCTTCCTGTACGAAACGAGAGAGACTCGAATAAAGCAAAGAAAGTCGCAGCGTTTCGCTAATACCTCTACGAATCCTCACACCGCAGCACAGAGAAATAAAGCTCTCCCTCTCCTTCCCGTACTCTCAACGTTCTCAACAAACCTCGCAACCGCTTTACAAACCCTACCTTACAACGCGGAAATGCGAGCACCCTACTTCATTCAATTCCAGGAACACGCTTCGACCGAGCGGCTTTAAACGCACGCAACCCCCTGTCGTATCGAGCTGCCGCTCGCTCACATTCACCGCATCCACGGTGAAGCAATTCGTTACGATTTCCTTAATATTCCGCCACCCGTACCACGGCCGGGATCAATTCTTGCTAACGAATTCGCGAGGAGAAACTTTTCCTCGATGTTCCTGTGCGCCGGCAGCAGGACAGGCCAGAGTTACGGCTGACGGGTTTACCCAACATTGACGCGCGACGGGGTTGGAAAAATTTATACCGCGAATTCCTTCCGAACGAGGAAGAAACGACGACGACGACGACGACGACAAATTCAGCGGCAACGCGGAGACGCATAAGCAAATCCGATTCTCTCGCCCCTCGTGTCACGTTAGCTGCTTTGACAGAGATAGCCGCGACTTCTTACGGGGGGAAATACGACGTACTCTCACGTACGTTCGTGCTTCCTGCCGAGCATGTCGCAGTGAGCCACCCTCTCGCGCGGATCTCGCCAAGACGAAGAACGAGCGTCGCTTCCTCGACACTTCGCGCGACTAGAAATTGCCACTGCCAGCCGGCTGAGGCGATGAGAATTCCGTGAACGATAGGGATAAACTGTGTTCGGCGACAGCGGAGGAAAGTGGAAGGACGAACGATATATTCGCGAAGCTGCCGCGAATACGTTACCGACGCTCCCGAGTGGCGGCAAGAAAAATTGGCGACTATCAACAAGGTACCCATGGAACAGTGGATTTGCATGGAGAAAACGTGCAACCTGTGTCTCGCGCTTCCGTTTCAAGAACGGTGACGTGACTCGTGTCGAGTTCTCTATTGGTTTTCGAGCGTATCGGTGAAAGTGTCATTCTTGGTTCGAGCTCGCAGCGTCTCGCACGCTGAGATGAAGTAGAAACTGTTCGGGAAATAACGTGTTGTCGTTTATGAATTTCTTAATTTTATAATCGTGACGATCGATTTGTGTTTCACACAACACGTGTATAGTACATCGTGCACGTTCGAGTACCTTTCACGAGCCAATACAGACGCGGGATATTTTATAAAAATTTGAAATTTACGTTAAACGAAATTGCGAAAGACGATGGTATAGTATTTTCCTGAGCACGGCTAGATAATATCGACGGGTCAGTAAAGAAGTCGAACGTTTCGCAGAAAAGCATCCGCCTATAATACAGCTGTTTCCTCCAGTGCGAACGCAATACGTAGCTGCGTTTCTCCGAGGAGACAGAGCGACGGAGTAAAACCATGGGAAAATAGGCTCTCGTATTTTATACGAAAAATGCCGTACCATTTCGAAGAATTACGCTGCGCGATAAAATTTTAAACGTAGTCGTCGATTTATTGATTCATGACTTTGCAATAG